GAGTTTTTGGTTTCTGTTAGTTGTTAGTCAATTTTGTTTGTTTTCTGTGATTAGTTTGAGTCTTAGTTTGGTTAATTCTTATTTGTATTTCATCTTACCTTTGCCAGTTTATATGTTCAAATGTTCATTTAAGGCAACCAACTGATAGTTTCGATTTTCTTATTAGTTTGGATTCAAGTTGATATGCTTGCTTTTCTTCTGATAATAAATTTGATTCTGATTCATTAGGTTAATAGGCTGATTTGGTGTTTTGGATCCATATTTGTTCAGTAGCTGTTGATGCATGTCTAAAATTGGAGGTTTGGTTTGACTAAATGAACATGGTTGTTAGTTTAATTGGTTTAATTTCAGTTTGAGTTTCAAGTTCTATTAATTAGTCTTAATTAGTTTAGGCTAGATTAGTTGTTTGGTTATAGCTGGCAGGTTTATCGATGGCCAGTAGTTTCAGGAGGTTTGCAAGGGTAGTGTGGGCATAGAAAAAGGCAATTTTGTTAAGAATGGTAAATTCAAAACCAGGACAAGGGTAGTATAGGTATTGTACGATTAAAAGAACACCCTAGGTCCTTCTAGAATAGGACTTTAGTGCAGATTTTAGCAAACTTAGGGGAGTAACTTGAGAAACAAGTCAGAAATTGAAGGTTTAATAGGTGAAATCTGAAATTAAAAGAAAGGAAAAAATGGGTGAAAGCTTCCAGAATACTCGGCCCCACTCCTGGCCTATAAAAGGCACCTCTAATGCCTTCTTGAACAAGTTTTGGGAAGCTCGCAAATTTCCCCCAAATAGTCTCTACCATTTCCAGATTTTTAGTCCATCCTGATAGAAAACAAAAATACCAAAACAGAAATTATAAAAAGGTCAAAAACTGTTCCATTGGTCACTTCGGTTTGATTTCGAGTTTGAGCGATTGATTTTGGTCTTTTGGTGTAATATTTGTTGGTTGAGATTCAGAAAACTTACTGCATTTGAATTTGAGTCAATTTTGGTGTAATTGAGCTATCCTGGTTGACTTTGGCTTGTTCGAGGCCTATTTTGGTCCAGTCTGGTTCATCTTCATTGAAACTAGTTGCTGTTTGGTTGGAGTGTCAATTTTTGGGTCAAAAATTTCAGCTCAAAGTCACTGTTAGAAAAAATATTGCTGTTGAGCCACTGTGTACTGCTGCTGACTCTCTTCTTCTCTTCTATTGCCTTATAACTCCAGGTACACATTTGAATTCGCATTGATGTAGATTTGAATTGGATGAAATGAAAAGTATTCACCAGATCTGTGCTCGCTGGATTCTCCTAGATTTGTGAATAAATAGAGGCTAGTTGATGTGTAGTTATCTTGCACTAGTTTATTTGGTTTGTATTAACATGACTATGGACTGTATAACTAGGACTGTTTTGGACTGCTTCTGAATCGTTTTGGACTGTGTTGAATCCCATAGCGATGAGATACAATGCTCGGTGATAGTGGATTCATACTGTTTTAAATTGATAGCTTAAGTAATAAATCTAATCTAAATTGTGTTTTGGTTAGGTAATAAATCTAATTTGGACACGTGAAATCTGTTTAGGCTTGTAAGGACTCCATGTTTGAGTCCAGAAGCATTTGAGTTGGTGAATCTGGGCTCATGACCATGCCCAGGTCAGACAGCCCTACGGAAATGTGATTTGGGCTTTAACTTTGGACCTTGATTTTGTTTATGAAAAGAGCAATATCACTGCTGCTCTTAGTGTGGGGCTGAGTTCCCGTGGGCTCATGAATTGTCTTGGTAATTGGCTTGCTAATAATTAATTGGTAGGTCATTCAAAGTTGTTGGGCTCCTATCGGGCCCAGACTGGGCAGCCTATTATCGACTAGACCCTCAGTTTATTTAGGGGCTCGACTAAGCCCATCTTGTTTTAAATAATTAACAAATCTCTTGTAAACCATTTAGGGAAACGTTAATTAGTTTAGAGACCTCTTAAGTAGAATAAATTGAGGCGCGCCAAGCCAGATAAAATCTCAAATGCTTGGCCCCCGTTCAAATATTTCTTTTTAAAAAAAAAAAAAACCATTAGCATCCGAGGCGTGCCATTTAGCAAAATTTCATGGCCCTCGCAAAGCCAAAACGCTTAGTTGCTTTAGGCGCGTACTTTAATAATATTACTTCCCTAAATTCGGGTGCACATTTATGTGACCCAAATCCAAATCTCAACGAAGTCGAAATGTGTTAACAATCACGGGTGCACTGGTGCGACGTGGTTCGAAACGCATTTTCACGATGTTGTAATTCTTATTAAAAAAAAAAACAACGGTTTACTAATAAAAGCACACGAGTTAGAACATGTTTTGAAATCAGATAAAATCAGATACGACAGTTGAGCGACTGTGCTAGAACCACGGAACCCGGGAATGCCTAACACCTTCTCCCGGGTTAACAGAATTCCTTACTCAGATTTCTGGTTCGCAGACTGTTAACAGAGTCATACTTTCCTCGGATTGGGATTCAACCGGTGACTTGGGACACCATTAATATCCCAAGTGGCGACTCTAAAATCTTAATAATAAATCCCGTTTGATTGTCCTTTAAGTAGGAAAACTCCTTTATGCCCTAGCAGGTGTAGGTAAAAAGGAGGTGTGACACAAGGGAGAATCCAAACAACATTGCTTGTGGAGTTACCAACTTTGCAGGTATTCTAGCTTGCTCTACTTATAAAGAGATTGCAGAAACAACTATGTGTAAATATTCTAAATCTATTGCTGACTTATGGATCCTAGATAGTGGAGCCTCAAACCACATGACTTATAGAAAATACTTTCTAACCAACATCAAAACACTACCCTATCCATTTTTAGCTACCCTACCTAATGGATACAGAGTCAAGGTGACAGAAATAGAAGATGCATTCCTTGGTCCTAGCCTCACTTTATTTAGAGTATTATATGTACCCAGTTTCAAGTTTAATCTCATCTCAATTCATTCATTAACTGTGCATGTAGATTGTATGGTTAACTTCAATAAATATCTCTGTCTAATGCAGGCCCCTTCAATGAAGAGGCCTCTGGAAATTGGTAAGGCAAGAAGTGGCCTATACTTCCTCTACTCAATGTGCCTATGTCATGAATCTAAGTCAAATTTCATTTTTGCTTTCAACTTTGATCTTTTCAAGCACTTTAGTTCATATCTTCCTACATCTGTAAATACTGCAAGTACAGTTAAGAGTCATCCTCTTCATTCATCTGCATTTGTAGATAAATCATCATGTCCACCTAATGCTGTAAATATGCTCCATTCAATCAATAAGACAAACTCTTCTACTATTGATTCCATTTCAATGTCTTCTATTATGTCTCATAGAAACACTGTTGATCATTTGTGTCACAATAGTCTAGGACATGTACCTTTTGTGAAAATGAGGGAAATTTTCACAATACCTGTCAATTTTGCTCCCAGACAGCCTTTCTTTTGCCCAATGGCTAGACAAATCAGACTTCCATTTGCCCATAGTACTACCACTTCCACTAAGATCTCTGAACTAATACACTTGGATCTATGGGGTCCTTATCATATAAACACACATGACAATCATAAATACTTCCTAACTTAGTTGATGATTTTAGTAGATCAACCTGGACTCACTTGTTGAGCTATAAAAGTAATGTTCTCCAGATCCTCAAGTCCTTCATCTCTATGATAGAAAATCAGTTCAAAACCACAGTCAAAATCATTAGGTCTGACAATGGCCTAGAATTTGTCAATAATGAATCAATGTCATACTTCCCAACCAAGGGAATTTTTCACCAGAAAACATGTCCAAATACACCACTGCAAAATGGTGTGGTGGAGAGAAAACATAAATACTTTCTTGAGACAGCCATGGCATTACTATACTAGTCCAAATTACCCATAAAGTATTGGGGGGAGTGCATCACTGCCATATATCTGATAAACAGATTGCCTTCCACAGCTCTTAAAAACAAATGCCCTTTTGAGATTTTATATGACAGTAACCCAAATTATTCATATCTTTGGAGGTTTGGTTGCCTGTGTTATCCCACTACCTTGAAAAGACATAAGGATAAGTTTGAACCAAGATCCACACCTCATGTGTTCATAGGATATCCCTTTGGGACAAAGGGGTACAAGTTCCTAGACTTAGCCACTAAGAGGATACATATTTCCAGGGATGTCCAGTTTCATGAAAATATATTTCCTTTTGCCACTAAATCTGAGTCAAGTCCTTCTAGCTTCCCTAGGTCATTTCAAGATTCCACTCCTACATGTATTGATCTTGATCCTTGTAGTTTGAAAAATAGTCACCTATATGATAGGAATGCACACCCTTTTGATTCTGTCACCACTGACTCACCTAGCAGTTCACCTACACTTACTACTTCACCTCTTGAAAACCCAACCACTACAAAGTCAGGCTACTATTTTACCTGAAAGGCATACACAACAACATAATGATGATTCCACCCTCACCAACCAATCAGATCTTCCACATTTGAGAAGATCCTCCAGAACTCATACAACTCCCTCACATCTTAAGGAATATATTTACTCCATACCAAATTTGCAGCCTAGATCTTCCATATCAACCAATCTTCACTCACCAGATCATTTGCTAATCAACCAAATTTGCAACCTAGCACTTCTCAAACCAACCAAACTTCACTCACCACATTATTTGCTAATAAGCACCATGTTGCATTCAATACTTTCAACCATGAAAGTCAGCAGCTCTTGAGGAACATTTCATATGACTGTGAGCCAAACTCTTATGAGGAGGCAGCTGTGAATCATGCATGGCAGGCACCTATGACACAGGAATTTCAGGCCTTACACACTAACTATACTTGGGATTTAGTGCATTTACCTGCAGGGAAAAAGGCTATAGGTTGCAAGTGGGTGTACAAAATCAAGCACAAAGCTAATGGGAGCATAGAGATATTCAAAGCCAGCTTGTGGTGAAAGGTTACACCCAAGAAGTAGGGATTGACTATACTGAGACATTCTCCCCAGTGGTGAAGATGACTACAGTTAGGACATTGGTCACCATTGCAATAAAAAGAGGGTGGGGCCTTTACCAACTGGATGTAAATAATGTTTTCCTCCATGGAGACCTGCATGAAGAAGTATACATGGAGATTCCACAGGGTTTGATGGTAGATGACAGTAAGCCGGCATGCAGGCTGAGAAAATCTTTATATGGTCTCAAACAGGCTAGCAGACAATGGTATGACAAATTGACAGAATCCTTATGCTCAAAAGCTTTTCAGCATTCAGCTAGTGACTATTCACTCTTCTATAAGATGGAAGGATCTTCAGTGGTGTTTGTAGCAATCTATGTAGATGATGTGATCCTGACTGGCAACGACTTAGAAGAAATAGAAAGACTAAAGACACTCCTGCACAATCAATTCAGGATCAAAGACTTAGGGACATTACATTACTTTTTGGGTCTAGAAATACTGTATCAAGCTAATGGAGTCCTGATGACTCAAAGGAAGTTCACCAATGATTTGTTGTAGGAGTATGATTGCTTAGGTTACACTACTGTGTCATCTCCTCTTGATTCCACAATCAAGTTGAAGGCTAGAGAAGGAGCCTTACTCTCAGATCCAATGTACTGCAGAAAATTGGTTGGAAAGCTCAATTTCCTCACCAACACAAGATTGAATATAGCATACAGTGTCCAACACCTGAGCCAGTTTATGCAAGCCCCAAGGGAGCCACATCTGAAGGCTGCTTTGCATGTCCTAAGGTACCTGAAGCAAGACCCTACATTGGGAATTTTTCTGTCCAAGGATACCAATTATGGGCTAAGGGCTTATTGTGACTCAAACTGGGCATCTTCCCCTGATTCAAGAAAGTCGATTAGTGGCAATATTGTCTTACTTGGTGATAGCCCCATTAGCTGGAAGTCCAAAAAGCAGAGTGCAGTATCACTATCCTCTGCTGAAGCAGAGTACAGGTCAATAAGGAAAGTGGTAGGAGAATTAGTGTGGGTAAAAAAGATTGATGGAGGAACTGGGAGTGATTTGCCATGCCTATCCCTGTGTTTTGTGATAGTATGGCAGTTGTTCAAATTGCAAGAAATCCAGTTTTTCATGAGAGGACTAAACACATATAGGTAGACCATCACTTTGTGAGGGACATGATTCAAGATGGTCTTATTACGCTACACCACATATCTACCAATACACAGTTAGCTGATATCTTAACCAAGGCTCTTACAGGGATTAAACATTCTGCTATTCTTGGCAAGTTGGTTGTGAGCTCCTCACCTCCAACTTGAGGGGGGGGGGGGGGCGGCATTGAGACTTACATTGTATTTGTATTTATATTTGTAGCCAATGTTAGTTAGGTTAGTTAGGGGCAGTTTTGTACTTTCACCTAGTAGTTAGATATGTTGTATATACTCTGTACATTGACACATTTGAGACATACAGAAATCATTTCTCTCTTCTAGAATATTCCTCTTCTCTTCTCTCTCTCTCAGCTCATCCGTCAATGTCGGACATCTTCACTGTAAGAACACACGAGTTTAACAACAGTAAGGACCCGTTAGGCCATAAATTTTGCCAAAATATATTTGGATTTTTTTTGGCAAATTCATGTTTGGCCATAGATTTTATTTACATTTTGGTAAATTCCCAAAACTAAAAACCCAAATCCCAAAACCAGCTCAAGAGCTTGTTTGCCCCAAATAATCACTATTATATTTTTTAAAAAATTATCCCAAACTTTTGTATTTTACAAAAGAGCCCACCATTTATTATTTTGTAATAATGATGCTTCGTCTTCTCGACCATCTGATAGTGTATTATGTAGTTCATTATAAAAATGATAATGTTGTACCAAATTTATTTATGTTCAGGACTATGGTTTGCGATAATAAAACAAGTTTGGTCTGCCTTCAAACTTGTTTTAACACCCACCACATTTCTGGTCTTTTTTTATTGAATTCAAGATGTTCCAATGATCTGCTTCTCCCAAGCCAATCAATAGGCTTCTGAGAATCAGAAAAAACACTAGTTTTCTTCCCATTGTGGAGTGAAAAGTGTGTATAAGAAAATATTATTACTATCGAAATATTGAGAGAAAAAATACACAAGAATATGTGAGTGATTCACAAATAATTAATGTAAGTTAGTTTGTTATTGACAAGTTGGAAGTGGGATTCTTCCCACATCGGAAGAGAGAAGTTCCTTTTGGAGCTTTTTAAGCACTTGTCCCTTTTTGTCTTTGATTTAGGACACATACTTTTAAGTGTGTGCAATTAAGTACACTATATATTTATATATTATATAATCAAAGACTTGAACTTGGACTTGGGGCTTGGGCGCGGGCAGGGTCGGATCCTAAAGTTAATTATTTTATTTTGTGACAGAAAAATCAAAATTTGTTTGAATTTTAAATTCAAAATTCGAATAAATAGTTATGTCTGTTATGAAAGGGCCCAACCAAATATGTCTGTTTGTGAAACAAGATATCTTTTCTGAAAGGGTCTGTTGGTTGCCTATAAATACACAAGAATTCCAACGAAGTTGTATAGAAAATCACAAGTGTTATTGCAGGCTTTGTTGTATCCTGAAGAGAATCGTTTTGTATTCCCCTAAATTAGTATACAGGCGATAACTCTTTAAGGACAGTCGATTTTCATGCCTCAAAGCCATTTTTGTTTATTATTTTCTAACAATCTTAAAGAGTTATTCTGCTATGGAGAAATTGATGTCTGTTGTTGAGAATCCGAAGGAGTTCATCAAACTTGATCGCTTTGATGGAATGAACTTTACCCGCTGGAGAGACAAGATGATATTCTTGCTGTCTGCTCTCAATATCTACTATGTTCTTGATTCTGCCTTGCCTGCAATACCTGAGCCCACAGTAGAAGATTCTGACGCAGTCAAGGAAGAAAGGAAGAAACGAGAACATGATGAACTATTCTGTCGCGGCCATATTCTGAATACCTTGACAGATCGACTCTATGATCTCTAATGCAATCGGAAGTCGCCAAGGGAGATTTGGACTACTCTACAAATTGCATACCAGAATGAAAAATGAGGTATCGATAAATTCCTGGCTCTGCAATACTTTGAATTTAAAATATTTGATACTAGGTGTGACGACCCGGCCGGTCGTCTTATGAATTAACGCCCAATCCCCTATTAACTGCTTTTCCCAAGCCTATTTATGCTAATTTGAATTGCCGGGATTTTCGGTTTGAGTTCCGGAGAGTTTTGGGACACTTAGTCCCTAAATGAGAGCTTAAGTGTTGGAAAGTTGCCCGTAGTCAGAACAATGTGAAGACGGCCTCGGAATGGAAATCCGATGGTTCCGTTAGCTTCGTTAGGTTATTTCAGGGTTGGAAGCGTGTTCGGAATGTATTTTGGAGGTCCGTAGCTAATTTAGGCTTGGATTGCCGAAAGTTGGAATTTTGAAGTTTTCGGTTCGATAGTGAGATTTTGATCCAAGGGTCGTAATGAAATTCCAAAAATTGCAGTAGCTCCGTCATGTCATTTGGGATGTGTGTGTAAAATTTCAGGTCATTTGGACGAGGTTTGGGTAGGTTTTTGATCGAAAGCGTGTTTTGTTAGAATTTGAAGTCCTTAGGCTTAAATAATTGGTTAATTCAAGTTTCTGACGTTGTTTTATTTAAGGGTTGGTACAAGTTTGAATGATGTTATAGGACATGTCCGTAGGTTTGGTTGGGGTCCTGGGGGCCTCGGGTGTGTTTCGGATGCTCAACGGGCCATTTCCTCCTATTTTTGAACTGCTGTTGCTGCTTCTGGTATGCCTCTATCGCGTTCGCGGGTTGCCCTTCGCGATCGCGAAGGCTTAATTTGACCACCTGGAATTTTCCTCTTCGCGTTCGCATAATCCCTCCCGCATTCGCGAAGCCCAGCTTACTTCCCCATCGTGTTCGCGTAAGCTGTCACGCGTTCGCGTAGGGTAACTCCTGGACCTCGCTATTTTTCTTCATCGCGATCGCGTTCCAGACGTCGCGTTCGCGTAGCTTCATGATCCCAGGCCTTCGCGTTCGCGTTCTCCCCCTCGCGATCGCGAAGGGCATTTTTGGAAACTTCTATTTTCCTTCTTCGCGAATGCGACCTTACTTCCGCGTTCGCGATGCATAACGGGCCTGGGCAGTATTAAATCATTCAAAACCGAGGGTTAGCCATTTTTATCAAAATACAAGCTTGGGAGCTCGGATTTGGGGGAAATTTCGAAGGTTTTTCGAGGGCAACTACTGGGTAACTATTCTCTACTCTCTTACGCTTAAAACCCACTAATCTAATCACGAATTCATCCTTAATTTCGGATTTTTGAAAGAAAAATGGGGAAAACTTCATAGACCAAACTATTGAGTTTTGGGTGGGTGTTTGACCTCCGATTTGGGAGTTTTTTATATGCTTAGACTCGTGGGAGTACGAGGGTTCTGAAAATATAAAAATTATTCGGTTCCGAGATGTTGGCCTGAGGGGCATTTTGGTCATTTTACCTAAATTCACGTCTTAGCTTTAAATTAAATAGTAGAATCAGTTGCTTGTGATGTTATTTACAATGTGTAATTGAATTGAATAGATTTGGGCCATTTGGAGTCGGATACTCGTGGCAAAAATGTGGTTTTGAGTTGATTTTGGAGCCGGTTTGAGGTAAGTGGCTTGTCTAACCTTGTGTGGGGGACCTTTCCCCTTAGGATATGATATTTGGTAATTGAATGCCTTGTACGTGAGGTGATGAGCGCGTACTTGAGCTAATTGTTGAAAATCCGGTTTTACTTTAAATATTTAGACTGAGTTTCTTTCTTATTTGCTTTATTTTATTTGCAATTATAGACTATGTTAGCTAGAAAAGCATGCTTAGTTGTTCTAAATTGTCTATTTGTTCAAGTTGCCTTGTTTGCACTACGTGAAGCATGTTAGGCTAGAACTACCTGTTGCCTTGTATTTTTTGAGCTTCATTTCTGAATATTCTTCGTGTTGTGACTGCGTATTTACATTGGGACTACGGATGTGGGATTCTGGTAGCTCCCCCCGCCCCTTGTTTGTTTACTTTGGGACTACGGGTTAGATACCCGGTAGATCCCCCTGCACATTTACTTTGGGACTGCGGGTTAGATTCTCGATAGATCCCCCTGCACATTGATAGTTGGACTACGGGAAGGTATCCCGGAAGATCCTTCGGATATACGATGGACTACGGGACGGTATCCCGGGAGCTCCTTGGACAGTTGATGAAATGGTCTACAGGACGGTATCCTGGGAGATCCTCGTTGTTGGTATTGGTATTGAGCTGTTTTACTCTGTGTTGTCTTATTCTCTAAGTGTTACTTGTTGCCTTGTATAACCTGTCTTACTTCATAGCTGTACTCATTACTTCCGTTTATTTAGTGATGTTGCAAGATTTATCATTATGCTTATTCTCAGTAGGGCCCTAACCTTCCTCGTCACTACTCAACTGAGGTTAGGCTTGGCACTTACTGAGTATCGCTGTGGTGTACTCATGCCCCTTCTGCGCATGTTTTTCATGTGCAGATCCAGGTACTTCATCCCAGGCGTATCACTCTCGAGGCGGAGAGATCTAGCAGAGACTTCGAGGTACATCTGCCGCGTCTGCAGACCAGGAGTCTCTATCTTATTCTAGCTTTAGCAGTTAGTTTTTCCTTTCGTACTTTTGCTTTAGACATTCTGGAGTTAGAGCCGTGTATTACTTTCCGTTAGCTTGTGTTCCCGTGAGTTTCCGGGTTTTGGGATGATATTGTAGACTTCTGCATTATTGGGTTGTATATGCCGAGCGGCATTTATATACAGTTACCCTTCTAGTTTGTTTAGTTTAATCATTTGTTTCCGCAATTTATGCTATTTTCGCATTGTTAGGCTTACCTAGTCGTAGGGACTAGGTGCCATCACGACATGTTCACGGAGGGCGAACTGGGGTCGTGACAAGTTGGTATAAGAGCTCTAGATTCATAGGAGTCACGGAACATAGGCCGGTTTATTAGAGTCTCGCTGATCGGTACGGACACGTCTGTACTTATCTACGAGAGGCTATGTAACTGTTAGGAAAATTTTCACTTCATTTGATTTCCTCATCGTGCGATATTTTGACATCACAATTCTAAACTTCTGTC